TTCTCCAAAAAGTCAATGACAATATAAGGTCTTTTTGGAGGTATGGCCTTACATACATACATATTGGCAACTGGGAGCCAAAGGGGAAACTCTGTACTGCTAATCTGTTATAATTCCTTCCCTGGAGAAGAAAAAAAATATAACAGATTGTAGTACACAAGTCATGGACCTCCGACCTGTTTGCTGATATGTATGTAACTAAGGGTCCCTCCTGTGAATCATAAGGCAAGAAGGGTGGGATGGGTGACTCACCTGCTCGCCCCAGCTGCCTATTCCGCAGGTCCCTTCCCCCTTAAGCCCTTGATTGAATGTTGCGACCCGCTCCTGCTTGTGCTGGCAGGTCACCAGCGGTTCTTGTTGGTCCGCCCTCCTGGGATGCTTGCATGGACGTCTCTGAGGTGCGTTCTGGAGGGTGTGTTGCAGTGGGGGAGGGCTTCCTGAAAATGACAGAAGAATTAGAAATGTTGAGGCCTTTTGAGCTTATATATCAAAAGTTGGATGGCGTGCAGGGGCGGCTGCACGGCAAGGGCTGGCGCCTGCTGCCAGAACATGCCAATGGACGCAACCGCAAGTCGCTCAAACATACAGGGAACGGGTGGAATGCGCGACTTGCCTGCCTTCATTCTACCCGCTCCATGCATGCTTCTAGCCCTTGTGGAGATTGCCACCCTGACCGCCCTTCTGAGAGGTCTTGTTAGCCTTCCCTTGCCGGTCTGCAGACCATCTGAAGGCCAAAGATCTTTTCCTTTAAAATGTTCAAGACATGGACAGAGTCGCTCGCAAGCAGCGCCTGGAGGAAGCCATCAAAGGGCGCGAGTTTGTCATGGGCGGCCTGCAATCCCTTATCACCGACCCACACGCAGTCACAATGAACATCTGGACACAAGACACATACATGGACGTCACATTCTCTGCGAAATATGTTAGGTTTGGGTGGTGGACTGTAAGGAGGTATCGAGTAGTTTATGTTATAGCTCATGAACGAAAGGACTTCTCTCGTATTCACACGGCAAACTTCAACATCGACCGGCTGACTGATGACGAGGAGCTTAGGCAAGCTACGGGTGATTCACCTGAGGGGATCTTGTGGTCAATTGTGTACCGCAAATGCCCCCCGTGGAAGCCTCTTGAAGCAGTACGGCTCGCTTTCAACGATGGAAGGCTCTTCGACTTGTACGTTTACAAGCCGCTGGAAAGAAAGCCTGCAAACATACAGAAAGGCACTGCTAACGTGTTGCGAAATGACACTGAATTTCTGGATGCCAACTGGTGTCCAGTCAACCGCCCGAACAAGACCTCTCTAACAAAGACCTCTCTGACTACGTGTACATGCTCAATGACATACAAAAGGATGGTACTAAAGGATGGTACTGTCCCAAAGGTTCCGGAGGTGAGTCTGTTTTCGCCTTATGTTGTCATATGTCGTCATCCCCTTCCCCTAAAAAGGAAGGGAGTGCTCTTTGTCTATAGTGTCTTTTGGTTGCGGGCCTACGTTGTGTAGTCTAGGGTACTCAATCGAAGCTCCTACTCCATTATGATTAGCTGGACGTGCAAAACTGCCCAGCTTGCGACCATTGTTGAGTACCGGCACTGCTGTCATTGAGAGGTTCTGCAGCAGAGAGAAAGAGCACCCGTGGTGACCGGCCGTGGATTAAAGGTGAGTCCTCTGAGGACTGCATGCGTTTTGTGCAGCTGCTTTTCTGAGCCGCCGGTGCATAAGCTGGTCGGACCAATCTGCAAACAAAAAGGGCAACAGCGCTGAGGACTTGCTTGAAGTTGTGTTGGTATGTCAATTTAGGTCAGCTTTTCTGTCACCAGACATTGTGCTCTTTACTACTGGCACCTTGCTTGTCCTTATACTCTGTCGCTGGTTGATTTTGTGATGCTTTCAACATGTTTCAAAGGCCATCTCACAGATAGAAGAGGTGTAGGTTGAGAGTTGAACAATTGACCAAAAGGAAAATGGTATTTGCCCGGTTGAATGCAGGCTGCAGGAGAGAAGGTCAGGCTTGTGGTGCAAAACTGCCTTGCGACCTTTACATAAGAGGAACATAAGAGGAGAGGAAAAAGCACCCGTGATAACCTGCAGTAGAAAGGTAAGTCTTTGCAGATGACAAACGCAATCTGTGTTCGTGCCTTTTCGGCTGTCGGTGCATAAGCCAGATAAGCCGGTTGCCTCAGTCGGACCCCTGTTCAATCCAGAGCAACAGCCCAGGACTGACTTGGAGTTGTGCTGGTATGTCCAGATATGAATTCTTCTTCAACAAACATTGTATGTCTTGTTTACAACTGTCACCTTGGTAGTCCTCCAAACCTGTCAATTTGGCTGATGTTATAATGCTTTTGAAGGTAGATTAAGCGCACGCATAAACGTTGTGTAAAAAGCATAAGTCTCAATCAGAAGATTGTGCTAGAGGGGAAGAGGTTTTGTGGAGAGCCTTTTTTGAGCAGAAAATTGCATGGTGCTGGTTCGCTAGGTTATTATTTTATGATGTGCGGTCTATCTGGCAGGAACATTGAATGTTGCATCACATTATGACCTTAGCTGCAGCAAGGTGGCAAAGTCACAGAACGCCTCGATTCAGAACGAGAGCTTCTATGCAATCGTAGTGTGGAACTCAAGAGCCTATAAGCCCCATTGCGTTGACTGGCAGGATTTCGTTTTGCAGGTTTACCCCCCGACTCTGAAGAAACTTCAAAGGACCATGGCCATGATCACACCAACCCTAATTATGAGGATGCTGATCCTTGTGACCTTGTACGGGTGCGGACTCCTAAGTGGTGTGCACTCAGTTACTATGGAGGAGATTGGCAGTCTGGTTCAGGGCCCCCTCTGGAACCAGAGTAGCATTGATCTTTCCTTTAGACGACTGTCAGGTCCCATCCCCCCCGAACTTGGCGGCCTGACCAACCTCACCTACCTCGATCTTTCTACAAATTATCTCTCCGGCTTCATCCCCTCCGAGCTTAGCAACCTGGCTCAACTCACCTACCTCAATCTCTCTTCAAACAGTCTCTCTGGCCCCATCTTCCTCGAACTTGGCAGCCTAACCAACCTCACCTACCTCGATCTTTCTACAAATCAT